ATACTTGAATTATCACTTACTCTCTTGTGATGACTTTAACTTACTCTAAGCCCTTAGCTAACTTGATCGTCGGAGTTCTTGCTCCTGAGAACACTCCCGGGGGCCTTTGATATCTTTTTACTCTCAACAGGTGGAATCCACAGCCCTCGGACCTTGAAAATTACCTCACTGCCCTGGGCTCCAAATTTGGCAGCAACACATATAATATTGCAATGAGGTGCCCTCCCTCCAATTAGTATTTGCCCCACTTGAATCTTAACTGGACGTCTCGGCTTCCTCCTTCGATCCGTCTTGCAAGTGCAGGGTCACCCTGGGCCGGATCTACTTCATCGACTGTGTGCTTGCCGCCCAATCCTTCCCAACTCTGGCCGCCTGTAGCTAATGTTTTCCCAGTAGCGTCTCGTAARCACCTTCGTGCTGAGCCGTCAGAGCACAAAAGTGGATGCTAAACTTCTCGAATTTCATGGATTAAATAAAATGTAGCTTCCTGAATGGACAGAGACTCCACTTCTCGTTGTTTCAATTAATACTCTACATTTCATTTTCTCGAATTTCATGTTGTGTTTGCTTGTGAAGTTTCTGGATACTTTCCCTCAAATTTTTGTTTCTTTAATTTTTTATCAAACCAAATACAGACCGGTTAGGGGTGTAAGTCAGGTTGGCCCAAGTTAATTAATGTTTTATACTGCTTAGGGATTTGGATTTCCCCCGGGCCATTCAAATTTTGACAAAAGCCCAACCCAAGCATACTCAAGTTCCACTCTTACTTAAGGTTCAATATAACACCGTGGAGGCGTTGGCCCTAGCATACATCAACCACTCTTCTTAGCACCTCACCTCTAACTCTATACCACCTAAAAGGCTAAAACAACTCAAATTAGAAGATTGACAACTATCAAATAATTAGAAAGTAAAATTTGACCCAGAACATGAAACTACTCAAATTTATGAAATTGCCCCTCCATATTAGGAAAAAACTAGGGCATTATATATTCTTCAAATGTATAATATAGTAATGAAGTTATCAACTAACCAATAAATAAATATTGTTCAAACTACTGACCCTATCAATATCCCAAGACCATCTGACTTAGTTAAGGTATAGCAGGAAGGCCTCTTTTCTTCTTCACTAGCAATACTTATTCACTACCTTAAAATAAGGGAAGTCCTTGCATCTGAGAGACAAAGGAAATTCATTGGCAAACAACTTATCAAGATCTGTTGTGAGGAAGGATCTTTTATGTAGTGAGTTTTCAAAGAACTCAGTCATGATTATAATCAATTTTACCAGGATCCTGTAAGAGTTCTGAGAAAAATGATCAAGTACAGACCTAGATTGTGGTCAAATTGATTAGAATTGCATAAACCATAGTATTTAAGATTTTATTAGAAAAAACTTTTCAACATAAACACTAGCTAAAATTTTATTAAAAAAATGTGTTGTGTCAAACAGACAGTCTGAATTGAACAGAGGATCTTTCCATGTGGCAAACTGAACTATATATAGCCTATTTGCAAACAATCTTAATAACCTGACAAAAAGCATCAAACTGAACCTGTCAATTTTGACCTACTCTTAGAAAAAAGAATCAGAGAAATCAGGTGGTGCTTCTAAAGAGCTGCTACTGGGATTTTTCCTTCATGGAGCTTGATGGGGCTTCTCATCTAGTGTGTACTAACAATGTTTTTCTAGAACCAATGCTCTTGGAACAGAAAGCTTATCTCCTCTATAGGCACCCGCTTCATTTCTGGTAGGAGGAAGTAAATGAAGCAACTCATGATGATGATCAAACAAACAGAGCAGGAATATACCATAACAGAGGTGTGTCTGTGAGAGAGAGAGAGAGAGAGACAAGGAAACACTAAGCAACCAGATCCGTGAGAAGATATTGGCACAGACCACCACACTCTGCCCAGCTGACCTTATGTCCAAGGGGAAGAGCTCACTTGGGACTAGCCAACCTAGAGGACCCAATGACCACCCATAACCTAATACAAAAAAGCAAATCATGACCACAAGAAGGATCGAATCTCCCTTTGGAAGAGTCATTCCACGTCCCAACTTCAGTGCTAGAACAATGGCCACCACCAATTGTAGCAGACAAAGAAATGACCAATCAGATTAAACAGTTTTCCATTTTATTTGCAACAACAACAAATGGCTTGAAAATATACAAAACATATAAACAAAGACAGAAGAAGTGGAATCACCATGGAGAATATCAACTAGGCACTAGCTTGAAGGAAGAAAGCCCTCCTTCCCCACCCATCTAACAGAAAATTCTATAACAAATAAACAGATAATCCAAGATTAGTTACACAACTAAGAGGATGATATAGCTAGCACTAGGCAAGGTCATGAAAACTTACAGTTGCTAATTTGTCCGGCCAAATCTCTCGACTGTTAAAGAAAACTCAGATCAAAACTTATTAAAAAGCGGAAAACAAACGGATATCATACCAAAAACACAGAGATCATATCCAAAAAGAGACCCTCCAAGTCCAAGGGCTGCAACTAAACAAGCAAAAATAAAAAGCCCTAGTGACTCGATCAGTACACGTACGTATAAGTAAGTCCTCTTAATTAGCACCCTCTACTCTACATCAACAAATCCCGTTCCTGCCATCTTTGTTCTGGAGTGGTAGAATCTCTGGTTTTGGAATGGTGGAATGCTCGGTGTTTGATGGTTTACTTTTAAATCAACAAAAACGTGATGAATATCTAAATGGACTGATAGACTGATAAGGATAGTCTTAAAAACAAAGAGAGATAGATGTATAGAAGAGTTCTTACCATTCAGGGAATTGATAATAGTCGATGAGCCTAATATCCATCAACCACTACCCAACCAGCCGGCCAATAACAACTTCACTCAGGTGAGTTAAACGTTTGCTTCTTTTTGTTTTCTAACTACAACATAGATACGAATTCTATTAGTGGCATCCAATCGAGACTAGGTTTGAATATAGGCAATGTTTTCTTTAAAAAAAATTTGAAGAGAAGAAATCATCGTTTTTCGGAGACCTTGACGTAGAAGGGTTGATCTCTGGATACTCTCGACTTGACTCCATCGGTCAACGAGCATTGTATCTTAACCTTCTGAACACTTGAAATCACTGTTATAATGGCCCGCATGAAATATCCGGGCGAAGAAGAAACCTTTTGGACCCGAATTCGGCCATGCACGAGAGTCGGCCCGAATCCCGATCCATCATGCTGACTGCGGTTTGTGAACCGTGTTTGACCGGACCGAATCTACAGTCCCAGAGACGGTTCCAATTTAATTCAATGATCTTTCACCTGTGTTACCCTTAACTATGCCAATTTCGCTTCGATTTTACTTGATTTGATTCTGACGCTCCTAGACCCAAACCGCTTCATCATATGAGATCAATTCAGATTGACCAAATCTGATCAAGCCGAATCAAATAGAATGATCCGATCCTATCAGAGGTCATCCAGACAGGATGACAACAAACCGAACCGGTCTGAGCTTGATCTATATAAAAACTAGTTCAGCTTAGATTTGCCCAGATTCTGAGCCAATTATAAAATCCTAGGCCCACTTGAAGGAAGTCCAACCCAGCTTAGATCATGACCGGACCCAATCCAGAGACCCATTCCAGTCAATTGTGGGTCTAGTTTAAGCCATTTCTGGGGGCATTTATTTTGGGTCAATTTTAATTTTAATGTTTTGGGCATTTTTTTGGACAGAATTTAAGGCAGAATTTCAAACTTTTCTTAGTTAAATCTAAACCAATTTTGGACTGCTCGAGGGGATGGCTTTGGGGCCAATATCAAACTAGATTGGGAGCAGTTTTTAAACCATATTTTCAGTCAACTTAACTTTAGAAGCATTTTAAGGCAAATTTAGGCTTATTTTTGGTTGATTTTAAGAACAATTTCCGAATTATTTAAAAGATGTTTTTGGCAAATTTGGACAATTTTAAGGACTAACAGAAGAAACAACTGTCTTGAATGTATTTCCATATGGCTGTACCGTGGTTGCATTTCTGTAGATAAATGGACCCAGATCAAACCTGACCCATTTGCAATAGACAAAGATTTCTTAGATTTTTTGTGTTCAATTTTTTTTTTTTAAATTTATGCCCATGTCCTTGTACAACTCTACGAGTCCTTGGAGAACTATTTTATTGGAGCCTAATTCAAACAACGACGACTTTGAACGAATCATGACCAAGACTGAATTTTCCGCTCAGGAAGAGGAAGAAAGTAGAGGCAGTGGCTCGGATTCTTTGTGATATGAAGCACCAAAAATTGGATAAAGCAACAAGAGCCCGTTTGGAGGAGATGAAAACGGACAAATTTCCCAGAGTTGTTCTCACTGATATCAGCGCCTCTGCTACCATCAAAAAAACGGGTTCTAGTCATTGCCAACACCAAAAATCTACCAGAAGAACCACCATTGATCGACAAGTTGAAGAATGTGCTGGAAAGGTATAGTGGACCTTTTGAGAAAAAGTTGACGAGAACCAATACAAAGGTTGACCAGTGTTGGCTTACCATACACAAATCAGATGCAAAAAGATTTATCACTCTTCTATGCATGAGAAGGAGAAGCCAGAAGAGGGGATATGGAAACCACTTATGACTCGGAAGGCATAGAGTTCGACATGAAGTTTAAGCTCTTTACAGCTTCACAATCATACGCCTTTATCTGCGGCTGGAAGAAATTTTGTCAAGCACATCAGTTGAGAGGTGATTTAGATCACATAATATTATGGACATTCCGCCATGCTCAAACTGGGAAGCTATGTTTCATCATGACTTCAAGACAGATGCACCTAAACTCGAAAAAACAAAAGGAAGACATTCAAAAGCTTAACTGCAAATCTGCAATGGTTTGAGTCTAAGGAGTATAGCCAAAAATTAGGTAGTCTCTTGTATCCCAACTCCTTGTAAGATATCTGCTTTCTTGCTAGTCTCTTGGATTTTTTTCATACATCTTATGTCTTGTTCCATACCATGAAATTCACAGTGAAACAAAAACGGAGAACTTTGTTCATGTACAGGGCTGTCAATCGATGGAATTGCATCTGAGTTCAATTTCAATCCAATCTCACAAAGTCGGATTCAGTTTTATCACAAAAAGAAACTTATTTCAATATAAAACCATAAAAGAAATTTATAACTTAAGTATTTCAGATTGAATAAAATCCTAACAAAAAGAATCCTTAGAATGGCTCTGTAAGGAAAGCTCGTGTTTACAATAGAACCCAAAGATGCCATTACCCATATACCACCTGGTGAGGAGTGAGGACACATACTTCCACTTCAGATTTTCATCTCTTTTCTGGTTATGAGATGACTGCAACTCCATCAATAATTGACAAGATGATGGTTTAAATCCTACATTACAATAGTTGAGGCATCAAAACTAATTATTGCAAAAAGAATATTTTCACCTTTGATTGAACAACTCACTTGAATCTGCATATACAAGATAAAGTATCCCATCATGTAGTAGAAAAGCTCTGCATTCAAGCACCGATTGCATATAGTTTCAAATAACCTTCTTCGCATTACGAGCTGCAGATAAATGATCCTGCAAAACAAATGAAGGGTTCTGTAAAATAGCATGTCCATCTGTAGATCTTTTTTGATACTGCACACAAAAGGTACTCGGTGACTCTCCCAGTGCAATAACTTTAGTCATTTAGGTAGCAAGTAGGGGTAACAAAAATATGACTAGTTGCTGATTCACTAAAGTTTTTGGTGAACATGGATCAGAGACATGCCCTTTTTCCCAGAAAAGAACATTGAAAACTTCAAAAATATGGGGAATTATTCAATTATGAAAAGAAATATGGGATAAGAGCAAATTGAGATAAGATGGCCTAAATCATCATCGTCATCCAAGCTTTATCCCAACTATATGGGGTCGGCCACATGAATCCTGTTTTGCCATTTGGATGAATCAGTTTATGGCAAGGATTAAAATATCAATATGATTGTATTGAATGTATCGTATCCATATTGGTGCATGTGCATCTAGATACACTTGGATAGACCAATACAGAAAACTTATTAAAAACATTATAACTTTAAAATAGCAAGTGGGACCCTCTAATACCTATAAAATTTTAAAAAGTAGAAAAAAATTATAAAAAAAGAGGGTATTGGTCACGGATATCCACTTGAAGGTATCAGGCATACTGATATTTTGGTGTGTAAAATGTGGATACTCGTTATAAATTAGTATTTCTGTTATAATTTTTAAAAGATTTTCAGCAAAAAAAAATCACGTTAGGGTAGTCCAAGTGTAAAACAGTTCTAAGTCTTAGATCTTTTGATGATATTTTGTTAACCAAAGATGATATCAAGACTTCCTTTAAGATAGAAAATTCAGTCCAGACATAAGATCTTAATCTTACCGAGATAAAATCAAAGGCTTTTGTCTCCTCTCTCTTTGAGCTGTTCATCACTGTACTGGAAGCTTGAGTTGGAATACTTGGATGGAAAATATCAGGAAGTGGGGATGAGTATCCTCCTTCCCTACTATTACCAGAAGAATGTTCTAGACCAGCATTTCCTTGAGCATTTAAATTTCCAAGGTGTTGGAAATTAGACATTGTTGCTAGCAGCTGTTGTTGAGCAAGATAATTTCCCATAGCAGCATAGTTCATTGGCTGTGAAGCAAAAGCTGGGTTGAACATCATGTTAGGAGATGCGTTGTGCATGGGACCTAAAAACATAGCACTTTGATTCATTCCAGCCATTTGAGAATTAAATATGCTATTCAAAGAATCATTTGATGCCGAATGACTTGGTTGAATGCTTGGGTTTGAGAGGGTAGCTTCTGAAAACAACCCAGAGAAGCTTCCTTGTTGCTTGGTCTCTGAGCTCTTGTCAGCTACAGATAAACCAGCCATTAAATTATCCATACTCCCTTTATCGCCTGATTGTTCTGAATCAGAAATGGAACAAAAAATATCCAATAATTGTGCTCCATTTTTATTTGCTTGCATGTGGGTTTCATTAGCAACCTTCTTATCAGCAACCGCCAACCCTGAAAATAGGTCATTGACAGGTTCTCTATCCTCAGTCGTATGAAATGAGACATCTGCAAATGGGTCCTCTTCAGTCTTATGTCCATTGGTGCTCAAGCCAGTAGCTGAACTATCTCCAAACAGATCATCAATTGTAGGAGTGGATGATTTCATCAGATCTGCAATATTTTGATCACTGTGCTTCTGGGCTGAATCCTCCTTTCCATAATAATCATCTGAGTCACCAGTATCTATTAAATCAGGCATCTGAACAGTAGGGGGTTTTGCTCCCACACTAGATGACTTTTCTGGAAGACTATGTGTTTCAATTGTCTGGTCTCCATTCAGAAGGCTTAAGACCTGTCAATTAAAAGTAATGCTAAAGTTAACTACAACTAATACACTATAATCTTGCATGCCTCTCAATATAGGAGATTACTCATACGAATGATTTGAAAAGGAAGTCAAGAACTAGATCACCATCATCTAAGCCTTGTCACAACTATATGGGGTTGGCTATATGAATCGATTAGGGAGATGAAGTTGTGCTTTTTTTATCAATGGAGAAGAAGTTTGTTAGCTCAAAGGTGGTGCTTAATGGCACTTTCCCAAAGTCCTCACCATTGCATCATAGGACCCTATTGTATGTCTGCCCAGGTAAAGGAAGGCAGTCCCATACTCTAATTGGCAAACAGTGATACTTTTTCAGTGTTAACTACATAATCATGGAATTAGAAAAGTGCAAAACATGAATTTTCTAATATCAACAAGAAAACAAAATTTGAAGATAAAAAGCAATATACAACATGATTAATTATGTAAACCCTAAGCTCATGTACTCGTACACATGGCAGTTGCCTCACTCCTAGCTAGGACTGTCAATGGGTTGGTTCTGCCCAACTACCCGACCCGAACTGAACCGATTATGTCGGCTCTGGTTCCATGATTTTGTCCTGATTAAAATAATTGGGTTGGTTCTGGTTCTTTCTTGTTCCAAACCGATTATTTTATTAAACATATACAAGGTTTTCCTAATTTTCTTATAATTTTTATCATATTTTATGTTTGAAATGGTAAACTTGAGAGATAATATATAATATAATATTAGTTAAAAGTGTTTAACTTATTAACATATAAATGATTTAGTATTTTACTATTATTTTTATATTATCAAAATTTAAGTTTTAAGTTATTATTTAAATAAATAAGTATGATTTTCAGTATAATTGGGTCTATCAGGTCAGGCATTATCCCGATTATTAACCAGGACGTTTCTTGGGCTGTGATTTTGTCTCAATTAATAATTGTTTCGGGACTGGGACCACCATGTCAGCCTGTCCTGATCCAAATCTGACCTGTTGACAGCCCTACTACCAGCTGGGTATAGTTAAAACTAAGTATATGTATCCAGATATGAGAAAATATTGATCAAGCTCAAAAATCTTGGACAGGGCATATCATAGCCATTTATCTTGGTTGATCTATGTTGCAGTGAATCCACTATCCAAAGGTACCTAATCTTGTCCAATATGTTCACAAGCCTCGACAGAAATATTCTTGACAAGAAACACACTCAAATATCCGAAGGAGTAGGGTTCCGTTTTGGAAGCCCAATATAATGGAGTTTCATCTAATAGAGTCCACAATTTCATCCACCCTTGCATTTTCGATATAAGCAGATCCTGCAAGTAAAATGCTCAAGATTTCATGGTAAATGGACCCCTTAAACCTACCAAAACTAGATAATTACAATGTCAAACAAGCTAGTTTACACAATTGCATTGCAATGGCTTGGAGTGTGAAATGTAGAAACTCATTATTGTGGTCATTATGAATGCATTTAGATTCTGAAGTTGAGATAGTCAGAAGTGAACAAAGAAAACCATGATCAAATTAAGTAAAACAATTTTGTGAAGAATATAAATAAACAAATTAGGGGCCACGGTATGGTGCAATTGTAAAATTTTTGGCTGACAAACCTGAGAATGTGGATTTGGGTTTCAAGAGACCACTTTGTATAAATAAATATGAAAGGTTAGGTCTGTATCCAGTCTACCCCTCTGAAAACCCTGAATAGCTAGGACCAACATTGGGTAATGACCCTTTATGAACAAATAGGTTCTGCTTTGAAATAGAACCCAAAATCCGAATGTATCTAAGATTGCAAGACATTTACCTTGTTTGCCTTTTCCCTCAGAGAAGCTTGGGGAGACTCTGAACATCTTATAATAGCATCTTTATTTTCACTAAAATAGATAGCTATGGTTGAAAAATTCGCATCATCCTTTTTCCTCAAAATTGAGTCAAGGACACAGATAGCTTTCATGCGGACCTGACAAGGAGTATAAATCCAATGACCTTTAGTGTTAGTAAGTTCTAGAAAGAAAAATATGTCATCCACATGACTTTTTTTCATAAAAAAGATCAAACAAATTTGCTGACTGCTGCAGCCCAGTGCCCCCATAGAAAGTAGCTACTTTTAAGCCATGTGCACCTATCTGCTCATATCATGCATGCATGCATAAGTACGTATTGTTATTCAAAATAGAAACATACCTGCCATAAATGAGATTGCAGCTTTGATTCAAGGGCATAGCTCAAAGACATTACGTCCAGCTTTGAGGCCTCCACAAGGAAAGCCTGAATGGCGTCACGAGTGGGTTGTAGACGAACACCACCAGATGTAACAATCGTCTCCAACAGCTTTTCTTCACGGCTCTTGCTCCCCGTATAACTTGAGCTGGAGTCTCCATTTGTTGATATTGACATGTTCTGTCTTGAATCCTGGCCCCAGGTTCCAGCACCATCACTCCTAGAGGTTCCAGAAGAACCCTGAGTTTCACCATGAGGTTCAAATCTTTCATATCTATCAGGGCTCTCAATTTCTGTTGTCAACGACCTCCTCAAGGTTGGGCTTTTGTAACTCCCACTGTCATTCTTCCGCAGGGAATGAGCTGCGGTGATACTACTAATCCCTTGTATGATAGAAGCGCTTCCAAGACCAACCACCTCGCTGAGAAATGACTTCTTATCTTCTGATGGCATGTCAAAATTTGTGTTCCCAAATCCTTGTATTCTTTTAGAAAGATCTTCGGATGGTGCAGGCTTGTTTTCCTCTGCAGCAAAGATGGCCGAGATCGCCTCATGGGCTGTGTCACGAACAGCCTTATTAAGTGCATCTCCCTTCAAAGGATCCAATTGACCCTTGTAATGAAACAACTGGCGCACTGCCACTGAATGACGTTGCATCTCCCTCCGGAATTCCACACCAGATTTTCCCACGGCATATTTGATCAGCCTTAGAGCCTACACGACCAAAAACAAAACTATTATCAGCATTTCCCATAATTCAAGGTGAAAATTACTTTATAATATTAATAAAAAAATTTATGCTCCTTATAAATGCTTCACTGCTAACTCAATTTTCATCTGTAAGTGATGTGTTTTCCATTCGAATGAAAACTGAAAACAAATGTACCAAGTGAATGGGGATTTTATTAATAGCCCCTTAAAATCTTCCTAAATTATGCCATCAAGACCTATGCATTCAGCCAATAAGACCTCCGGCACTAAAATTACCATAAGAAGAAGCACAAAAAAAAATGTATTAGGTACCTTCTGTTTGACTATCGGGCTCTTGTGTTCTAGCCGTTTGAAGATAAATTCGGAAACTTCTTTCACGATACTGACATGAGAAGATCGAAGAAGCTCGCAAACTTCCTCCAATTTATAGACAGGAGTGACCTTATCCTCATCAGAAGTGGCTCCATCAATCATGCGGGATCTCCAGTAAGATTCGACAGCTCTTCTGCTCGAATCCATTTCGCGCTAAACCACCAAATAAGCGTATTCCTTGAATCTCCCAGCCGAATCACACCAAGTTCTAAATCAGCTGGACAACTTGGAAACTAGCAATTAACATAAGCAATACGCAGATCGATTCGAAATCAGGGTCTTAGGGCGCAATTTAAATAGCAGCCCCAGTTCCCCCGATCAGAAAATCCAATCACCCCAAGTCAAAGCTTTTGATCGGGAAGAAAACACACAAGGAAGAATATAACCATGAAATGAAACCCTAATTCCTTTGATCTTAGGAGGATTATTGAACACCATGAACGATCAAAGAAACACTATGAATGGGAAATAATCAAAACCGGTGCAGGCAATGAATCAGAGATTCAACTCCATAATTACTGAATTGGGATATTTCCTGGGTCTGATTATGACGAAATTCGAAGGGAAATAAGGGAGAGAGGCGGAGGAATGGAGGAGAGACACTACAGAGACGACGAAAGCCACGAAACGAAGGTTCGGTGGGACATAGAGGCTTTGAGTGCAGCCAGCTCCTCCCGAAGGACAAGAATGATCGATTTCGCTGGCGGCCGATTTTATGGCGCCGCGTGCCATAAAAGAAACGAAGAAATTGAGAAAAATTTTTATTTTCATCGCAGCCGTTATGGCCCGTTTGGTTGTCGAGAAATAATGGGATGAAAAGGGACGGATGAGAAAGGATGGAATGAGAAAGTAAAATTTAAGTTTTCATTTTTGGTCACTACATTTGTTTGTTGTGACACACTATCCTATAGAATCTGCTTCCAACATTTGGTTGGTGAGAGTTGGCGGATCCAAGAGCATATCTACAAGAGAAGTTTATGTTGTTAGGACAAATAAACCATGAAAAAACTAACCTTTAAATTCATGTTAGATCTATAACAAAACACTTTGGGTTTAGCAGATCCATACAATGAATAGGGGTTTATAGCAACAAAAAAATAAAAGGGTTTTAGATCTGGCAACCCAATAGCAAAGGGTTTAGCAAATGGAGAAAATATGGGAAGAAGATGAAGATGAAAACTAACCTTCATAGAAGATGAGGATGAGAACTCTAGTCTCCATAGACGAATCCGTGCTCCTTGTCCGCTAAGCACCTAAAACACATAGAAGGAAAAACGTTATTGGTAAAAAATGCAAAAAAAAAAGATGTCAATGATGCGTAAAACGGAATCCTGTTTCCTTGCCATATGAGAAGACGAAGACAAAGTTACCTTTGCCGAAGAAGATAGGCAATATCCTATTTCCTTGTCGTCTGAGATTTGAGATCAAAGTTGATGGAGGAAGAGAAAGGTATTTATTGGTGGAATAAAACACCAAATAGCGTGAAAGGAGATGTTAGTACTTACCAGAGGCCGTAAACCTTGCCGGAGATGAAAGATAAGGTGGTCGGAGTTCGGACCACTGTAGAGATGGGAGATGAGAACAATCCACCCTCGACAATTTTCTCACATTCATCACACAACTTTCGTTTCTTACTAGGGCCGCACCTATTTGGTGAGACCCCGCACCCCTTATTTTGAGAATACTAATCCCATCTCATCGCATCATATCTCTCAAAACAAACATGAGAAAATAGAAATATTTGCATCCATGTCACGCAAACCAAACAGACTGTTAGATTTTGTTTGTTTGATAGAAAATAAAAGATAAATAAAAAGCTCTTAAGGTTGTATTTAGTTTGAAACTAATTACATCAAATTTCAAGAAAACAATTTGCAAAAGGTAAATTTTCTAATTAAAAGTTTATTGGAAAAAGACCGGTTTAAAATAAATAAAAAATTATGGATAATAATATATTTAATTTAATAAAATAAAACAATAAGTAATCACAACCATCGAGCAATAGAGTGAAAGAGGGAGATATGACTTTAGTCATTGTATTTTTGTTTTATATAGTGGAATAATTATAAATAATTAAATAATAATTAATTTAATTAATAAATAAATAAATTTATAAAATATATGAGATAGGTAGACAATCAAGTGAGAGAGTAAATATATATAATTATATACACGATTTTATGTCTTACTTTACTAGCAATTATAATTTGTTACATTACTAAATTATTAACTAATTAAACAATTTAGTAAAATAAGTAAATAAATAAATAAAACTTTATGTATTATCAACACAAGATTAGTAAATGATATCTCAAATTATTTAATTAATTAATTTAGCATTGTTAATGGGTTGGGCTGAACTACTAGGCTATCAATCCCATGAATAGGCTTAGCTTGGTTCGTGGCCCAACTTGGCCTAAGACTTGGCTTGCGGAGCAACCTAGCCCATGGCACGACACGGGCCTGTGTAGGTTCGGACTAAAATAAAATTTTAAGATCTTTATTTTTTTAATTTATGTTAAAATTTTCATTATTTTCTTTCAAAATTTTTAGAAAACATGGCTTAGCCCGATTCATGGATCGGCCTGGCCTAAGGGCCTGTTCGTTTCCTCTTAACTATCTTTTAAGAGGAATCCTTTAACTTTAAGAGAAAAATGGTTGTTCGTTTCCTCTTATCTCTTATCTCTTAAAATGCAATTATACAACTTTTTATTTTTCAATGATACCCTCAAAAAGACAAACAAAAACTCTAATATATGGGGTCAAAATGGATATTTGATAATTTTCAGAATTCATAATTCAAAGTTCAAAACAACATTCTCTGCATTCGGAGTTCAAAGGAAATAAAAGTTCACCAATACCAATATACCTCTTAATGTAATTATTGCACACGGCACGACACGGGCCTGCGTGGGCTCAGGCTGTATATTATATACAATAATTATATAAGATATAATTTTATTTTCAATTTTATTATATTATTTCATTTTATTATTACGCATATAAATAATTATATACATCAAAATTCATATAAAATAAAATTTTAAGATCTTTTTTAATTTTTATCTATTTTTTTATTTTATATTAACTTTTTCATTATTTTTTTTTCAAAATCTTTTAAAAAACATGGATTAGCCCAGTTTGTGGCCCTACTTGGCCTAAGACTTGACCTGCAGCATGATACAAGCTTGCGCAAGCTTGAGCCAACCCTCTAAAGTATCCTAGGGGAAGGAAGTATAACTCGCATGGCATAGCCCAACATGGCCCGATTGTAAATAAAATAAGAGATAAAAGACAATTTTTAACAAATATGAAAAGGGTAGAAGTTTAGTGGCATCATTGTAAATAGTTAGCAATGACACCACCGTAAACAATTATATGTCAAATATGAAAGAGGAAAAGTAGAAAGGATAAGTAATGATTGCTTATTTTGTTTTATTCAATGGCATCATTGTAATTAAATTTATAATGGTAATGGCAAAAGCATGAAAAGGAAAAACTTATAAGATTTTATTTAGGTTATATAAAAAATATTCCATTTGGAAAATGCATAGCAATCACTATTTAAATGTTTAGCAAATTTCTTAAACTACCCTTACGGGTTGTCTTAAACCATAAATCCAATATTACCCTCCGTCTCTCTCTTCTCTCCTTCAATTTTCTCGTAAAGAGATGGAACCACCAGCTTTAGATGTATTTTCCAAGAATGGCATTTAGAGGTGTCTTCGACAACAATAGAGTAAAATCTCTCATCGATTGCGCTCATGGGATTCACCGAAAGATCCAATGTCAAGCTATTGTTTCAAATAGATAGAGGGAGATCGATCTGAACTTTTTTGTTTGTCAATGTGCCAAACACATTAGAACAAACCTTTCTAGATCTTCTTCATTTTGGCCCCATTTAGCGTGTCTTTTCATGCGAGCTGTCGGCTTTTTAGAAGCTTGGCAGCCCACATTTTAGTCTTTTCCCGTTTGGTTGGGAAAAGATCTAGCCACTGAAAGCCACAGCCCTGAAAAGACGTGGAAAGCCCATTTTGGGAAGGTCCAAATGAAGCTTTTCGCCTTTTTTTTAACTCATCTTCGTTCGAAAAGACGCGTAGACAGATGCGCCTTAACCAAACGGTCTTCAAGCTGTTAAGATATTGATGCAAAATCTCACATCGTCTTTTGACTGTCAAAGCTTCCAAAAGATCTTTTAAAAAAGACTTGCCAAACGACCCCTTTGTCATCCAAAACACATACTCTATCTTTGGTAGGAGGTCGCATTTTGTGCACTCACGGGTGCACTCATCCGGTGCACCCACAAATGAGAGGCGAACATGTGTTAACCACGAATTAACGGAAGTTTTCTCCGTTATTAATAATTTGGCTAGTTGAACCGGCTATTGTTGACTCTCATCCGGTTGAACCACCCATAAAGGGATTTCGTTCGAACTCCCTCAGTCCCTCCCATTTCCTCCACTTCTCCGGTTCTCCCAGTCCCAGTCCTAACCCATAAAATCATCCCATCAGCCACTCACATACACCGGTGTCCATAAACGTGGTCCACCGGTGGCGGCAAGAATTTCGACGATAAATATAGAAAAGTTCTCTCTAGTCTCCTAATGACTCTTATTTCTTCTTCATCCTCTTCTTTCCATCTTCTTCTTCCGAGAACCATTATTCCTCACATTGGCAGTCATCAGTCATCAGAACAAAGCTAATCTCCTCAAGCCCTAACCCCTGTTTCATTAGTCGTTGTTTTTCATTCAAAACTGAGAAACAATGGTGAGATGTAGGATGTGAGATGTTTCTGGTCGACGTGTCCTACCTGTTCGTCCTTCAAATCAGACCTACCACCGGAGAAGACGAAGAAGAGTCGAATAAGAAGAAGAATGGAGAGTCGAAGAAGAAGATAAGAAGGATATGTCGTTGTTGCCGATGGACAAAGGTTACTTTGTTGTATGGGTAGGGATCGGTGGAGAGAAATAAAAGAAAGAACTGAAAGAAGAAACGAAGAAACTGGAAAAAGGGGCTTTTTGATTGGGTACTCGACCGATTCGTGTTTACGCGATCTGGTTCGTTTCCGCATGAATCGACGAGACCACGTTAACACTCAAACGCACGTTAACATTGGCCTGGTCGACGTATCGATCAGCCATTCGCGGGTGCAGTCGTCCAGTGCACCCACGGGCGCACAGAATGCGAGCTCCGTCGGTAGTCTTGTTGTAGGAAGCAACTCGGATACATAGACTCCTCTTGGAAAGCGACTTCGCCTACGACAGAGATTTCTTCGCCACCCGATAGGGCACCAGGCTTCTCAACTTGTTGGACTTCCGGGATGACTGTTGGTCCAACTCCTATATGCGCTATACCTTGAGCAACGGCTCGAATTTCGAATACAAAGTAAGCACTGCAACGTAAGGCAATTAGACGCGAGTCCGCGTTCTGTTCACCCATGGGTGCACTGTATGCGTGAACCCAACAATGAGAGTTGACCACGTCGTCTAGGCCAATCTTTCTAATGTTAACGGGCCTTTGGCCGTTAACTGGAGTATTCAGTTGAACCGGACACAAAAAGACAAAATCAAATAAAAAATCCCTCAACCGAATCCTACCTCTCATTTTGTTGCTTCTCCTCCATTGAATCCTACCCCACGCACTAGCGTGCATACCTAGGAGAAGGTGATCCAAACCATCGGCAATGATAGCTCCGGTGGTACGTTCTCTGGCCTC